GCAACCTTACTCTTTTGCACAAGTCAAATTCCTCCTCGCTCTGTTTTTGCTTCCCACGCGTCCGGTTACAAGTTCCCGACGTTTTGGAATGAGTTGGCGGAGACCTTGATCTTTAATGGACACGCAAACCTCGTCTCGCAAAGACTGAAGTGTTGCAGAGAAGCCATTTCAACCCCAATAAATAATAATGAACGGTCAAGCTGGTATGTTGTCTGCAAGCGTAGCGTTTCATTTGATGACCTGAATATCACAGTTGCAGTCCTTGGCGTTTCTGTCAAGTAGCTATGAACACTTTACTAGTGACAAGGAACACACTCTCGGAAAATCAACCTACACATGACCATGGCTTTCCATATCAGCACGACCATTTCCTCCTCACCTACCACAAATCTGGTATGTCCTAATCTTTTCAATTTTATTTTTCCCCCTTACAAGTTGGTATATCAATAGGTCCAATTCATCGTTGACACTACGCCATGTCGGCAGCGAGTTGAAAATAAACGAAATCCTAGAGGTCGAAAAGTCTTTTATCAGCCCGTGGGCGGGCTAGCAGTGAGCTGTTTATGGTGACTGTGGTTGTGAGAGATGGTTGAATTAGTCAAGCTGGCAAGCAATATTATCCTCGCCTTGTCTTGAGCTTGCCTGGAACGTATGTCTTTCTACTTCTTTATCTTTTCGGCGAATTGATGACACGCTATTTGTTTTTCAGGTTCTCAAGACACATGTACGAGCTTGATGGCCATGTTCAAATCGACCCCAATCCTTAAACCTATTGCCCCACTTGCATGACCCCATTGAAGTAGAAGCTAGCGAGTTGAACGGGCCGACATGCGTGCCAAACTCCCATGTCTGGTTCTTGTTTGAACATGGGGGTTCCAGTGGAATGGCCGACCGCCAGCAAGATAGGCGAATTTCACGAATTTGGTAAGTCTCAGTTTTGCTGAGCCAAGCTTGTGTGCTGAACCCACCATTTTAAAGGCCCGACAACGAACATCGCCAATCACACGTGCTAACCTAGTTTTCTCTAGAGTTTTGACAGACGGCCGCTTGGCCTCTCGATACTCTTTACATGTGGTGCTGGGAGCCAAAACAAAGTGGGGTTAGCTGAGCAAGCTCAGGTTGGCAACCAGAATTTTTGGGAGATGGCTCAGAGGACAAACCGAAATAACATCCCTCTCATCAAACGAGGATTGACAGCATTTTTTCGTGGCAGTTCTTGCGGCAACACGACTAGTTGCAATGCCAGGGCGTAAAGGTTATTGGGCAGGTTGTAAGGGTTGGAGAGTTGGGCACCATTAGGTTACCCATGCTGTGCTGCATCTGAGGGTGAGTTTCACCTTGGAACTTGATAAGTTTCTTATGCTGAAATTCCACAGATGCTCTTGATATGTTATCCAAGCCTTCATCTTTGGAATGTTCCTTGGGAACTCAAATGATCCGTGCATCCTTTCACCTCCTCGCTCAACTGGTTTTTTTAATTCACTATGTCTGCCCCCACTCCATCCGCCCTGCACATCATTACCTTTTCTACGAAGAGCAGAACTTCCCAATGGACCTCACCAAACTTTCTTGCGGCTTCATGAATATGAGCGTCGACCTCGGATCCCATTTCCCAATGTTGGAGACTTGCCGCTCAATAGGGAACCGGCGGTCCCTCTCCTGATATCGCTACGTTAAACCAGAGCCGCTCTTTGGGCCCCCATGTCGACTAATGACCCTCAGCGCTCGGTTCTGTCACAACTTGACAGCTCCACCCCATCGTCGGAGAGACCTTGACCAATGCTTTGTCCGAAGACATTGGGCCACGAAATAGGAGAACTCGTTGGTCTCAAGCACTGCTTCATGGCAAGTTCAATTCGTGACAGACAGCCTGTAGTGTCTCAGGCCGTCTATCCCTCTGTTTGTCGTCATGAGTCCACCTGAACCAAGATTCATCGGTCGAGAGGCGCGTTTTTCTACTTTCCTCACGAACTACATATCATATGGCCTTATTCAGTATTTTCTACCTGATCTCTTCATACTCATTTACATGTATTGTACATATTGGGTCGTATGCTTATTTTCCAAGCACAGCTTAACATGTTCAGTGCTTAACGGATGACCAGGCAAAGAGACCTCAGCTATCTCGGCTGTAGATGTTATGTGCAGATGTAGCTTCAAGCCCGCCATCAATGTTCCAAAAGGCGTCTAAGTCAAGGATGGTCGAAAAACATCATGTTCATCTATAAGAACTGTCAGCGGAAATTCCGTCTGTCACTATGGAGATGAGAAGAAATGACATGGAGAGCTGGGACCGATAATTGCTCCCGGATACATGCCTTGCCCACATTCTGACTTTCACAGACAAACCACTTGTTCTCAGAAGTGTCGTTATTGTCTCTCTTATTGTCCCCATTTTGAAACTTACCATTTCCAAGAGCATTGGGACCAATAGCAGCGATGCTCCTTGTTCCAAGAATGTTACCTAATTGCCTTGTTCATCGCTGCGACAAAAGCAAGGGCAAGGTCGAAGCGTGATGAATATACCAATGAGCTAGTTTCCTGGACTACTTTTATTTTCCTTGTAATGATAAAGGTGAATCTCCTAAGTATCCAAACCACGGGTGTGAAAGAGGCAGCTGCCGCGGACCGCGGTGACTTGTCAGATTCTCTTTTTCCCTCAAAAGGAGGAGTCAGGGACCAAGGGGCTGGTTCCGGCTCCCTTTCCCGTCTTTTCAATTCTCTCCTCTATTTCTTTGAGGCTAGTTTCCTCGCCTTTCTCCCTTCGTTCCTTTCTCTATCCATTTTTTTCCGGCGATGTCGTCCCCAAATCCTACTCTCGTGGCCGGCTACAACCTCCTCAACATCCTCGGATTCGTCGTTCTTTCAAGTATTGTATTTACCGCCTATTTCTCTCCGGGCATTCACCGGTCACGGAACTGGTACATGGCAATGTTTATCTGGATATGGTGGTGCATTCCTTATTCGATGCTGATTGGGAGGCAGTTGGACACTGAGGACAAACCTCCTCCAAAGGCACTTTGTACATTTCAAGCATCGTTGGTTTATGCTTCGCCCCCTTCGTGCGTCCCATGTCTACATTTCTCACAACGAGGCTGATGGGTCTCTATGTTGCCAGAGTGATTTCTGCCAACTTCGCCCTTCTGGCTCAGGTATGCAACGCGCATTCACCTATATTTTTTTAGTTTATCTCATTCCTTGCGACTGCCAGATATTCTCTTTGTTGACTGAAACGCTATATCAACGGAAGGGTCTGGAAAAGAAGGTCTCCAGTGTGGTGTGTATTTAGGTCTAGCCTCCTGGACCAGGATATCTGGCTGATGTTATCAAAGTTATTGTGTTTGCCAATAGTTGTCTACGTTACTATCTTCTTCATTTCACTTACGGTTGTTCTCTTTTAACCAATCGGCCTACGCAACTGATTTTTCGCCTAGGTCGGTATCGACAACCCGTCGCTCGTAGGCCGAAGTTCCACAGCTACATATTGCAATATTAAACACACTGTTCCGTTCGTCCATGTGCCTCTACCAGTGAACTAGTTCCCTTGCTCATCATGCATTAGGTCTTCGGTCTCTTCGGTGGCATGTATCAGTTTTGCCATTATGCTCCTCCTTTTGGAAGGTCCGGGCTTACCTGTCTCCATAAGTGATCCATTTGTGCTGATATTTTACTTCCATAGCCGTGACATTTTCTCTTCTTTATCGACATCGCAACTGGGTCAAACAGATGAAGACAAGTGCTAGCCCGGCACCTATTAGCCTCATAGTTCGAATAGCCTTCTTCTCCATTGGACCTATCATCGCTGCTATGTAAGTAAAACTCTGTTCTCCTGTCGAACTAACATCTCACTCCCTGATTTCGGCCTTCAGCTTAGGTGGCAGCTCAATCGGTACACAAACATTATTTGACAACCCGTCCATTGTTCTCGTCACAGCTGCTTGTTTGTGTCCATTCATTCAATGATTTCCATTGGCTTATGCCTGTTTTTGTAGCCCCGCTTTTGGCAGCTGCAATATTTGGTACCCAAAACGTATGTTTTTACAGCTGTACCCTCATTGTAATAAAATTAACGCGCTCGTTGTATTTTATTCAGGATATTCTGAATGTATGGATGTTCTGGAGAAGGTCTGGTGCAGCCCCATACTCACATAAGTTGGAAAGTAAGGAGGCACTTCAAACTGCGTAATTCTGCGCTACCAACTACCTCACTTGTTGGACAAATGTCTTAATTTCTTGCTGTATCTTCGCCGGTTTTATTCATTTTAGTTAAATTTGAGACATTTTGTTTTCCAACTTGGCTACCTATCGAATTCATCATATCAACTGGGAGAAGGAATGTACATCAGGTGTCCCAGTTCTCTTCAACAACCAAACAATTGTCTAAGGACGGCATAACTGACTTGCCTTCTTGCCCTTGTGATCTAAGTCATATATTTCTTTCCAGCAGTTCGAAACGCTCAACAGAAAGCGATAGCATTCCATACAAGACATTATTTGGCGAGACTTAGTAAGCTGGTGGTTACAAAGGCCAAGGGAGCTGAGGACAGGCACCAATCACCACATATCCCAGGGAAGCCAGAACGCAGGTGCTTTCGCAGTGGCTACTATCATAACACAAGCAGCCTGAGAATGGGCACATTGTCCTGACTGGGGCTCACGAAACGTGAGATCCAACTTGGAGTCCATATGATAATAAAATATAAGGCTGACACTTCCTCCAGAGTCACTGAAGCTTATATAAGGCGGTCGTATTGGTGAACACAAGCCTCATTGATAGCTTCCTGTTGTGGTGGAACGGTCAACGCATGGCCGTGTCGGTCCGCCTCCATATGGACATGCTTACCTAGTGCCCACAAGATCGATGGCCACACACTTAATATCATATCTCGAGCTTTGATGGAACTAAAATCAGTAGCTATTTTGTTCAAGTACTCACTGATGGGTATTACAGTTTGGGATGGATGACATTGTAATGGGCTGCCTGAATAGTCACCATTGAGAGGCGTATGTTCTAGTGGTTATGATTCCTGTCTCACACACAGGAGGTCCCCGGTTCGACCCCGGGTACGCCTAAGTTTTTCTCTTTTCCCAAAGCATTACCTTTTTTGTCCAATCCCCATTGTGGGATTGGTGAGGAAAGGAGGAACTCGGGTTCTTGTCCAAACTTCACATCCAATATTCATCATCATCATTCAAATAAATGTGCATGCCCAAGTGAGTACTCAAAACATACTCAGATGACCTCAGGACCATGCAACTCATCGACACGCCAAGTATTTTTCAATGAATTTCTCCGGGATGTAGATCTACGGCCCTCGCTGCCTACAAACGTGGGTGGCCACTTTCCCCAATTAGTCTGCCTCCGCCGAGAGACGGTATGTATTGAATACTTTCAAGCGGGCAAAAACGACGATCTTCCGCTTTGTACTTATCACGGATAGGCTATTCACATGGAACAATTCTTTGATGTGAATAAATGGAACTCTAACTAGTTACAAAGGTAGAATCTCGTTCTCTCCTTGAGTCGTAAAGAGAGAGCGAGAGAGAGGTTAGCAACGGTGGGAATAAACTTTGTTTTTACTTAGATTTCGAAGTAAGGTGGATGGCCGACTCGGGTTGCGATTATCGGCTCGTGGTTTCCTCGCCATTCGGGCTCGAGGAGATGAACGTCAGTAAAAAACTCGAAGAGGTCCGTAAGCTGGGTTTGGGGTAAGAGTTGTACCTCGCTTGAGGGGCTGTTTATCTCGGTCCGTCGATCATGACCGTTTCTGGTGTAACTTACGTCCCTTATGAACATCCAAAAGCAGTTCTAGAAATGTGCATTTTACGTACTTCAATTCTGGTACCGTCTAATTGAGGAACTTGACTCAAGTAGGAGGAGTCAGGAACATTACATGAGCGGAAGGGACCGTTGAGGGGAAAATTGCAGGGTACTTACCTCCATTCTGCTTGACTCTAGGGCATCGTTTCAAATGAACAGATCAAATGCCCTGGGCGTAAGTAACTAATAGCGGAAAAAAAGACAGGACTATACTAGCCAGTCAGATCGAATCTCGAGAAATGGACTTGCGGTACTGGCCTGACAATTCACCGTTTAGGAACAATCAAGCCTCGAGGCGGATCGTGAGGTTCGGCATTGCGTGCCTGTCGATCTCGGTGCGTCTGAAGAAGCAACTAAAAGAGAGAATCAAGGGTATGAGATTGCCTCGTTTGCATTTGTTAATAATATGTCCTGGTTTTGAGTGCCTGGATCTCTGCCTAATGGAAAGTGAGGACAACTTTGCCACAATTCAGTCGGGGAAAAAAAAAAGTATGAAAATATCAGAGTGACATTCCGTGAAACTCGAGAATAGGTTTTTTTTCGACCGTTTGGGAAGGGTCGGTGATTTTGGACGGTTCCATGCAGCCGCTGCTTGACTTTGAAGTGCTGAGATGTCACAGATTGTACCTGCTCGTGCAGGTAACCGTGCAGTTGTACTTGGTGTCGGAGCCGAGAAATTGGACGCCTGGCTGTGAGAAGGCCTCGGAAGGACCTCACCTGAATTTTCCGCGACATATACCTGACAAGATCGGGTTTTGCAAGGTGTGAACGGAGAGCGGCCACTTGAAGCATTTGGTATAGCTTCTGAAGGATTAGAAGGATAAGAGTGCCGGGGCAAAGGACGAGGCAGCAGGCCGGAGTGCACTCGGTGGCACCAAACGGCAGAGCTGTAGAACCCGCACCGATAGAAGTGGATAGAACCTGTTGTCACTTTTGGGTCACCGAAGAAGTTGTAGCCGTGGATTTAACCACCCCCAGGCACGGTAACCTGGTCGATGGCGATTCCACGGGTGTATGCGAAAAGGCATGTCAGGGATCGTGGGTCTTGGCTTGACAAGAATTTGTCGGCAAACCACGGTGGTGATATTATTTTAGAGTCAAATCCATTCTCAAGGACGCCTAATCGCATATTAGCTTGGAGCTGGGAGGGGTAAATGACGTTCGACAAGGCTAAAGCCGTCATGCAAAATGGGAGGAAGAAGACGAAGGGTTGGGAGTGTGACAAAGTTGTGAAGCACGGGGTCGGCTGGAGGGCGATCAAAATAAGGTACAATCGGGACAGCAGATGGCTTCCGTTTTGAACTCTTTCCGCCACCACCACCTTCACTCTTACTGGTTGCCTCCCCGCCCACTTCCTCCACACCTCTCCAGTGCGCGCAAAACGGGGAAAGCACTCTCGAGAACTCGCGGGACAACTTTTTTCCTCCGTTAACCACGACGCACCGGATCACAGGCTCCGCATCTTCTATCCCATTGCACTTTCCTTTATCATCCACCCTCGTCTTTATGCACTATTATGCCAGCCTCTAAACACAGTTCACACTCTCGCCTAGAAGAAGTCCCCGTGGTTCATTTTCCTCCCGCTTTCAACCATTCACGTCCTGGCCCAAACGGTTTCTTCGACCCCTTCGAGAAAGTTCTCCAGCCTCCAGACGACGAAACTCCGCATGAACGCGAGGTCAGCATTTCTCCACGTCTTTGATTATTCAAATTATCTCATCGAACTGTATTTCTTAGGTCCGAACTCAGCAGGAAGATGAAGCGCGGCGGGTATCAGACCAAATTGACCAGCAACTGAAGCTCGAGCGAGACTCTATGAAACGCGGGCGCAGGAAAGTGGTACGGTTATTGCTGCTTGGCCAAAGTGAAAGTGGTATGCGCCAATTTCCGCTCTCTTCCTGTTTCAACCCATTTTAACCGACGCACTGGTAGGCAAAAGCACCACATTGCGGCGTAAGTGACATTTTCCCATTCGTCGTCCACATGCCGCAATATTGATTCGTGATCGTCCCCAGAATTTCAACGACTATACACACCCACTCAATTTCGCGCTGAACGCATCCTATGGCGCGCCGTCATTCAGCTCAACATCGTCCGGTCCATTCTTTGCATTCTTAATGCCCTCGAAAACTCTCCCAATGCAGGTCCCATGCTTGGAGGCCTCCACCGAACACGCTCTCACGCTACGCAGCGGTCAATATCCTCCCTTCCATCTCCAACCTTTCCCCCTCCTCTTCCAACATCCCCATCTCGAGAACTCACTGAAGACACTGGTACTAATGGTACCAATGGTTATTTTGCCATGAGCGATGCCGCTTCTAGTCGCACAAGTTATAGTCATTCTCCCCCTCCCTCACACATGAGTGGACGCCGACCATCGCTCCCAAACTCCGGACTTCCTCCAGAAGTCAATGCCGTTCGGCCCATCCTCGCAAGTCTCAAAGATGTAGAGAACCTGTTGATAGCTCGCCTTTCCCCCGAAAGTCCCGACACCCAATTCACTCTTCCACGTGGAGAAGGTTTAGACCTCGGCGAGGAGATTACTATCCGCGCCAACCCAGAAGGAGGTTGGAAGGGTGCTCTCCAAAAGTTCGGTGGACAGTCGCAGTCGTATCATTCCCATCTGGCTGGTCTCACTGTTTCAGATGAAGAGGGCGAGTCATCTGGGGATGATCTTGCGTATACGAGTTCTGGATCAGGCACCATGTCTCTGTCAAGAACAGAGAGTTCTGCCTTCAGGAATGGAAAGACACAACGGAAAGGTAGGGGAATTTTCCTTGGGCTCATCCCCTTTAGGCTCATTTTATTTATTTTTCTTTCTCCCTGACAGGCAAAGCCAAGTTTGACCCCAATGATCCTCAAAGCTTGATTCATTCGCTTCGGAAGGAGATGAAGGCATTATGGAACTGTCAGGAGGTTCGAGATATCTTGGAGCGCAAGAAAGTTAGGGTTTGGGAGGAACCTGGCTTGTAAGGACCCCTTGATTCCTTCGTCTCCGATTTTCCTAACACCTTTGCCTGTAGCTTTCTGAATGACCTTGATCGAGTGGCTTCGATGCGGTACATGCCTACCGATGAGGATGTGCTGCGAGCAAGGTTGAAGACGGTGGGAGTTGCGGAGTATAAATTTGAGATGGAGGTGCGTCCTCTTCCTGTAAGTAGAGCTTGGTGGAGATGCTGGAGTGCTCATGCGAACCCCTTTCTTTTTTTCATGGCTTTTAGGCATCTGCTGGACGTGATTCTGCGACAGAGTGGAGGATCGTAGACGTTGGCGGGAGTCGAATGCAGCGTCGTAAGTTTTCGCGTACCTCTCAGTTAAGTGAGCGCAATGTTGATTGGCCAATAGCAACATGGGTCCCCTTTTTTGAAGATGTGGACGCCATTATTTTCCTCGCACCCATTAGTGGGTTCGATCAAGTCTTGCCTGAAGACAAGACTGTGAACAGGCTGGTTAGTGCCAACATTCTAAGTAGCTGGCTTTTCAGTTCTTCTGACTTTCTCATTAGGAGGACTCTGTGCTGCTATGGAAAGCCCTATGTAGCAACAAGCTCCTCGCGAACGTGGACCTTGTTCTCTTCTTGAACAAATGTGATATCCTAGAGATGAAACTTAATAGTGGTGTCCAGTGAGTTGCTTTGATAAAATCGCTCATTAATGCATAATAACGAGATTTTAGCCTTGTAAAATATCTCAAGAGCTATGGTGATCGACCGAACGACCTCGATAATGTTTCTAAATGTAAGTCATAAATTTGATATTTTTCGGGGAGCAGGCCTTGATTTTCGGTGTTATGTAGACTTACGATCCAAATTCTCTGCTATTCAACGAGAGTACTCTCCTCAGCCGAGAAAGTTTTATGTCTGGTGTACGAGCGTCACTGTACGTTTTCTCCCATATCCAATCATCCAAAGTCGGTCGCTGACCACGGTACTTTTTTTGGTGCATGTAGGATACTGCCACCACAGCAGGAATCATTGCATCTGTGAGAGATATGGTGATTCGACAACATCTTAAACATAGCAAGCTCCTATGATCACGACCTTTGGCATGCAAGTCTCCTATGCAGTTTAGATTGAAAAACTTGGGACTGCTGGAGGGGAGAAGGAGGGGGACCTTGACCATGTCTTTCATTCACCACTTCTTTTTTTTTTTCTGATGACAATGAACTGTTGTACATATCAATGATGGCTGTTCCTGTAACTCAACCTACGCACCCCGTACCTAGCAAATCATGTTTTATGTTACAGTTTTGG